AAATACTATCAATATTTTTATTAAAAATATCTATCTAAATATATATTAAAATTTTTTAAATTTTATGTACCTAATTTATATAACGAAATCTTTTAATTTATCAATTTGATTTTTAATTTTAATTTTTATTTAATCATTTCTAACAAAAAATTTCAAAAATTCATCTTAAAAACTTCATTTAAATATTTCTCGTAGGTCGTCACCTCCCATTTAAAGCACAACGCAAGCATGATGGTTCTAAATGAAAATCAAGTGTCAAAAAATAGAAAGGGAAAGAGAGAAAGAGAAGAGATCCAGGACAACCCAAGTGGGGTAGGCCGACCATTTGCTTTGGGAAAGTCGGTGGTACATTCATCATGCTCTTATCTAATGGAAGTCCATAAGGATTGTGGTTATGTTGCCTTGACTAGCTTGTCCCATTACCAAACTTGTTCCACATAAATACCTCTCAATCAAACTCTTAGAAACAACATAACATGCCACTTTTCGCATAAAACAGAAATGTACTGCTAACCTTTAAAGTTCTTGCTTACCTTAATTACACTACTTTTCAAAAGCTTAACACCAAATTAAACCATCGGTTTACCATTCAATATAAGCTCAATTCAATTATAAAATTAAGTTCCTGTGTAATGATGTTAACGTAACATCATGTCACTGCTTCGGTCTCGTTCGATGATGAGATTCATTCTTCTCACGATGTCAGTGCCGTTTAGTCTCTAATCAGATCCGGCCAATAGTGGCAGGATCGTTTAACCCCTATAGTTTTAGAAGAGAATGAATTTTCATAGCATCGGACACCGAACATGACCTTATTAATACTAATTAATGGATGAGCATGATGAATGTTTAAGATTGTATCAAATAATTAACATTAATGATTAATCATTTTACACACTAACACAAATATAAAACATGCAAGTTTTCTACATTTTTCATCTTTAATATCGTCTCATTCATTTTTTTAAACATTGATAATATATATATAACTGTTTCATGCATGCGTCATGCATCAATGATCCATCTTAATATCTTTAAATATAAGCGAAAAAGTTTAGATACCAAAAATAATGCTTAAAGTGAAGCTAGTGATAACGTAGATTACAATCAATAAAAAACAAGTTGTAGTAGAAATGCAGACAAAAGTGATGGCTTCCTTGACATGGACTGTTGGTATGGCGAGGAAAAGAGGTTCGTAGAAAAGCCAAACAAAGAGCACAATTCCTCACTACCACTGGTCGGTTAATAGCCTTAAACAGTCCGGAACACCTCTGAAACCTAATCTCCACCAAGGCACCACCCTCTCCCCCTCCATCATTGCCTACTTTTTGCTCCCACAATCATCATATCCTTTTAGAATCGAATGCTCCATCATGCCAAATCATTTGTGGGGTCTACCTCTCGATCCCTTTGCCGCCAAATCCTATGTGTCGTCCCTATCCTGTCGACACGTGGATTCCCTCTTAGGAAATTCTTTTGTCTTGTGTGAACCGAGCACAAGTAGCTAGTGCTATACTGTAAGCATCCTTCGTTTTTAAGCTATCTTTTTTTCTTTTTTTTTTTTCTGCTTTTGATTAATATTTGATTAAAAATATTAATTTATTGTGAACGAAGATTAATTATTCTTAATTAATCATGCATTTTATTGCCCCACTGTTTGAAAGTCAATGTCTATCTATATACCAGTACTATAGACAGAAACTTGGCTATTAAGGCTTCGATAATTCTATATCTAACGCCTGCTAAAACGTTTTTTCATGACCTAATGATCGGAAAAAAAAATATAAATACTTTTGACGTCCATGTCTCTTCTACTATTATTAATGAAGAAAAGCGTTAACTCTCCATATTCACTCAATAATATATTCGACGGTTTAATGTCTCATCAACGAAAATTTTCTACTAATGACCCACAAAAGGATGCATTGAATTTATAGATTCGTCGGTGGATTAACCGTACCATTATCGTTATATCCTTTCCCCATTAACTATATATTAGTATCCATTCTTTTTTGAAAATATCATTATTTGTGCACCCCAATCACACGTAAAAATATTTAAGGTTTTATTATTAAATTTATGAGATAAAATTAAGTTTTTATTATTAAATTTATGAGATAAAATTATGAAAATTTTATATTAAAACAAATAATATTTCATAAGTTATATACGAATTTTTACAAATGATATCAAAAAAGTTATTAATTAAATGATAATTAAGTACTACATCATATAAGTCACCTTTGAAATCTCAAAAAAATTAAGTGTAATACGATAAAAGTCACTTTTAAGATCTTAATAACGTCTTATGTGATCATGATTTTGTATGTGCTTTTAAGTTATATATGATTGGGATGTCAAGTTTTAACGAATAAGTTTATAACATTCCAATCACATATTGAAATATTTTGAGAATTTATTATCATATATAAATAAAAATTTAAATATATACTTGTGAAATATTTTTTATGAGATAAAATCATAAAATTTTTAAATTAAAGATAATAATATATCTCACAAATTAAATACAGATCTTTATAATTGTCACTCAATTATGATTATATTTTTTAAATGATCATTTAACTATTAATTTTTTAATCTAAAAACAAAATCATTCCGTTGATGTGATAATACCATGTAAGCTATTAGGTATCATTAGGCTTTGCCACATTACTCGATATGTCATATAATATCGCTAATGTGGCATTATAAATTTTGAAAAAATAAATTTTATTAACATGGCATTTAATAATTGACATGATGTTGTCATTTCGATGCATTGCTAAAAACTAACAATTATGGGTAAAAAAAAATTAACTCAAACTTTAGTAATTAAATTAAAAATTTTAATAGTTTAATTATCATTTTAAAAATATAATTATAATTAAGTAATTAATTATGTAATTTACCCCTTTTTTTATTATAATCAATGTTTGAACTCTTTTATTCCATCTATTTACCCGGCTTATTTGCATGGGGCACATTATACCTCAAACCCTGATATCCTTCCACGTGTAGTAAATATGATGCCAGTAGAGCGTTGGCCGTTGAGCTAATGCTTAATTGGCATTAGTGTTTGTTTATGACAAGAAAAAAATGCTTTTAAAATTTCATGAGTTTATTTTTCTTTTTTTAATTAAAAAAAAAAGTATTCGAATCCGTCTTATATGTTTTAAGAAAAATAGATACCGTTAAAGGAAATCTTAAACACTTTAATTTTGGCACATTTTAGATAAGATCAAATGATAATGATAGTTGTATCCCCAAATTCCATTATTATAAGGTTTCTTCAAATTTCTTTTATGACAATTCTGAAACTCTTCGTATGAAAAAAAAATTTATATAAAATTTCATAAGTGGAGTTCGTGAAATTTTTTATTAAAAATTAATAAATTAAAATTAAAATCGAAAATTAAAATCGATAAATTAAAAGATTTCATCACATAAATCAAATATGCAAAATATAAAAAAAATTTAATAAACTTTGATATATTTATTAAAAAATAATTTTAATAAAAATATTGATAAAATTTATACCGTTAAATTAATATTGATCAAATTTGTATTATAAACAATATTTTTAATAATATTTTTCACATATTATTATTCTTACTTTGAACTCTATTAATCTATTAATTCAAATTTTTTATTAAAAATTTTATTTACTTAATTTTAATAAAAAATTTTACAAACTCCACTTGTATAACTTCGTATAAGTTTTATCCATCTTCATATATATTAATGGGTTTGGGGGAAAAACCTATAACCTTTAGTGCCAAACCTCTTTTTTATACCTAACCACTGGATGAAAAGATTCAAGGTATTAGAGTTAAGATGTAATATATTTCCTTGATTACAATCCTGGCGTCTTCTATCTCTCGGAATCCTCCTTGTTTCTTCGTTTCACATGAAAAAGCTCGTCAGAAAGAAAATTTCACATCTCAAATCTAAAACGATACAATATTTGTAAACCACAAATTTTAGTTACCAAAATAAATAGTTTTAAGATTGAAAATAAAAAAAATTAAATTGAACAAATATAAAATACATGAATGAATTAATTCTGAGACTCAACATCAACTTTTCATTGGCAAGTTTGTCCTAAGGAATTGTATTCGGGTACTATTAATTATATCATCTTTGAAATTTTATAAAATGGAATCTTCAATATGTCCATCCATACCAAATGTAAAATGATTTGATGTAGTGAGGCCCCATGTTACCATTGACACCCTTAATAAAGGGTTAACGATTAAATAATTTTCTCAGGGTACTGTGACATATCAGAAATCTGATAACCCCAAGTTGTCTGCTGTAGTTGCCTGCTTATGTCCTGAGGTAGGAATCAAGTTCAGGTGATGTCCTGAAAGAATATTTGGATTTTTGGGCAAGTTTACAAGAGCCTATATCTTGTTAGAGAAGTAAGGCATGTAATAGTGGGGGGACATTTGGGTGGTCTGCAACTAGGTATGCATACAAACACATCGCTGATGATGGGTCTCTGTCTGATTTTATTATGAAATGTTATCTCCTCTGATTTACCTCACTAAAATCAACATCCTTGCCTGTAATTGACAATAATTGTTTACCTATCAGACCCTTCCCTTTAATTTATCGCCACCCCTATGTTGATTTATAATACCCAAAATTATAATTGTGTATACTTGACCACTCAATGTTTTTTAAAAGAAATTTGCGTTATAATCAAAGTGTGTAAAGGGTTGGATTCAAAGTGAAAATCAGAAGAAAAGTCCAAAAAGAAAAAATGGTAAAAAAGAGTCGAATTATTCTGATCTCTTTAATGTGCTCTTGTATGCATCCCCACTTTCCATGCGATTCCACGTATGCAATCCATTCTATGCACTTTATACACCGTATTCTTAGCTCTTGGAGGAACAGAGAGAAAGAGAGTTTTGTTGTGAATGGTCAATCTATGGGGACAAAGAGAGATGCGATTCGTTAGTCTACTCATTTCCTTCGATTAATAATTCGTCCCACGTCCCTTCTTCCCTCAATAAGTCCCCTAATCAACACTCCTTCACCTCCTCCATTTCTCTCTAAGAAAACCCTTTTTTTTCTTCTTCTTCTTAGCGTCAAGATTCTGTGCTAGTTAGCAGCCTTGAGCAACATTTAGTTTTAATCACAATGGGATTTGATGATATTTGTAAAACTGGCCTTGTTCTTGATCTAGGTCTAGGCTGCCTTGTTAAGCAGGAAAAATTTTCGCAGTCCGATCATCAACGGAAGAAGAAGAAATTGTTCCTGAAAAATGATCACGTTTTCCCATCTCTTACTTTAGGTCCATCAGATGATATATACCAATCTGCTACAAAGATTGATGCTAGTAAAGTACACGGCGAGTCGATTGATTTGCACCAACAAGCCTCTTCGCTTAGTGCAATATCTTCTTTTTCTAACTCTAGTGTTAAGAAGGAGAGAGATTTTGGTGGTGAAGAGGTAGAATTGGAGAGAGTTTCTTCAAGGGTCAGTGATGAAGATGAAGAAGGGAGCCCCAGAAAGAAACTTAGGCTTAGCAAAGATCAATCTGCCATTTTAGAAGACAACTTCAAAGAACACAGCACTCTTAATCCTGTACACCATCTTTCTTTATCTTAATTCGATTAATTTTATATACTTAATCTCTCTCTCTCTATATATATATATGTGTGTGTGTGTGTGTGTGTGTGTGTGTGTGTGTGTGTGAGTTCTATTCTCTTATTTGGTATTAGTACTTCTTTCTTATGTTAACAGAAACAGAAGCAAGCTTTAGCAGAACAGCTGAATCTAAGGCCAAGGCAAGTGGAAGTATGGTTCCAAAATAGGAGAGCCAGGTTTCTTTACTGACCTTATATATAGATAGCTTGGCAGTTAGTTTTGATCTTTTCATGAATGAGTCTTTCTCAGTTTTGATCTTTTCATGAATGAGTTTTTTTCCTCCTTTTCCTTCTTTTCATGCAGGACAAAGCTGAAACAGACTGAAGTTGACTGTGAGTCACTGAAGAAATGTTGTGAAACACTAACAGAAGAGAACAAGAGGCTGCAGAAGGAACTGCAAGAGCTTAAATCACTGAAACTAACAGCATCTTACTATATGAAGCTACCTGCAGCCACCCTCACCATGTGCCCTTCCTGTGAGAGGGTTGGCAATGGGGGTGAAGGCCCTTCCACCGGCCCTTTTACAATGGGACAGAAATCTTACTTCAATCCCCTCACTCACCCATCTGCCGCCTACTAGCTAGGCAACTCGTTCAAGGCTTATGTGTCAAACATGTATCTGTAAGGATTAATAAAACCTTACTGGACATATATCTATATATTTCTTGTATAAATTAAAATATGTATATACCTAGCAAATCTGAGAAGGTTTTGTTCTTCTCATCTGTTTTTACTATCCTTACTGATTTTGATTCATTTAGTGAAGCTAGGCTATATCGTAAGACGCATAGCTAGAGAAATGGAGAATTATTTCCTTTTCAATAGATTAATGATACTGTAATTTATGTCATAAAGTGTATATGTTAATAATGCATCAAATATAAACTTTTTCTCAAATTTTATATGATCTCTCCTTTTTTTTCTGTTCTTTTTTCTTCTGGATTGTTTTGCCATATATATTATCTGTTGAAATCAGCAATTAATCCAGCTTACAATTCCAGAGTTGGCACAAGCAATATCATGTCTTATTTCAGCTTTCCCCCACGGTGGCTGAAGATTAACTTTACTATAGAATTTGGTCAGGAAGAAATTGATGTATTGGTGGAAAAGCAAACTCAATATATGCTTAATGACCAAGAAAGAGAAACACAGAAGAATGCAAGGACGACCGCTTTTGCTCATAAAATAACCATTTTTTAGTGGTTTAGATTAAGAGAAAGAGAATTCTGATTTGAAATCTTTTTTTTTAATAAATGTGATTACCATTGGATTACCTCAGACACAAAGAAAAAGAAAAAGGAGTTTTGTATATAGACATGAGTTTAAAAAATAATTAATTTCAAGAAGACTTTCATCCAGCTCATTATGCTAATTAATCCTTCCTTTCATTGTCGTTTTCAGTCCAATAAGGTTCTTGAGTCCTTTCATCTTACTGGCAGGACTGCCTGACTTGAAAATGACTTTCAAATCTTTGTGAACCAGTGATAAACCAAAACTTTTCTATATATATATATGAATTATTCATTAATCACTTAATTTCACGATGAAGTAGTGATGCACGCGCACGCATATACATTTCATACGTGTATGATAACGAAAATCAAAAAGAAGTGCTACACATTAGAAGATAAGAGAACCTTAAAAAAGTTTTAAAATTAAATGATGTACAAATAAGAAAAATGAGAGTGATGGAAAGCAACGTTTAAACTAAGATACATTGAAGACAATTAGTGTGTCGACAATCATGTGTGTGATAATTGATTATAAATAAAATTTGACTTTGGCTTAATTCTTCGTTTTTCTTCAAATAGTTAGTGCCAAAATACTCATTAATTTGCTTAGTTGGCATGTTCGATAATTAATCATATGTATGTAGCATTGTCTTTTTTTTTTTCCCTTAATCGGGGTTTTAAGCTTATCTTCGTTAATTAATCTTGACGCTGTTAATAGGATATTCCTGTTGGACATGATAATGAATTTTGATATTCAAATCGATATGGTGGTAAATTATCATCATTATCATAATGATTATAAGAAGATTAATTTTTTTTGGAGTTTTCGTACCCGACAAGTTGATCAAGTTGGGATTTTGGAGTCTTTCATGGTTGCATACATGATCTCTAACTTTTCAATATATTAATTAACTAAAATGAAGACCAGAGACAAAATGCTATACATGAATGCTTACGCATGTTTAATCATGTTTCTTTGCTTAGAAATATTTTTCATGGGTTGGCATGTTTTAGGCGGTCAAGTTGGGAGACATTGAAGGCTCTTTAAGCTGATTAAGGTGACACGATACTATCAATCTTATATATTGTGAAACACCTCAATTGCACGTCGGGAGATTCTGAAAATTTATTATCTATAAATTATATATAAAAAGTATCCTTATAAGTCTTAGAAATTGACAGCTATACTTTATAACAAAATGACATTATTAACCTATATTTTTTTCAATTTATTACCTATAGCCTGCTGAGATTGGGATGATCAAACCCTTTTGAAGTGCCATAACCTTTAGGCCTTGGCTACCATTTACCTTCAATTAATTATGAGGTTAATTTCAAATTACACATCTTCTCCAAGCATGCAGCAAATATATCGAATAGAGCAGCCTGTTACACATTTGCAATATTCGAATATTTATACTTCCAAAATCACCCATGTAATTAAGACCTTATCAAACCACTAGCACCAAAACACACCTAAATTAATTTCTAATTGAAGCACCATCAGTATTGATCTTGACCATGTCCAAGGTTGGAGGACACCATCGAACTAAACTTTCATTTTTTTATTTTTAAATTTATTAAAACTATTTTTTTGTTTTTTTATTCTATAATTTTTAAAAAAGGTTAATTATAGAGTTTTCATGCAAGTTATTCGCCAAAGAAGATTAGAATATGATATAATTATGGTTATGATTTTGATTTTGATTTTAGAGAGATGGGAGAAGCGATGGTGGTGGGAGAAAGCTGAGAAAAGAAATGAAGGGTTAGGATTTTTTAGTTAAAGGGTTAAACAGTACCATTGAAACTCATAAAAGTAAAAAGTGAAGACTAAAAAAATCTATTGTGTTGGCCATTAAAAAAAATATGATGGCAGGAAAAGGTTAGCCCATTTTTTAATAAAAGTGGTTGGTCCACTATAAGTAAACTAATCTAATGAAAAAATAAATAAATAGTTTATTTTTATTATTTTTTAGAAACATTTTGAATTCATTCGAAATATTTTTTTTTATCTTTTTTTTACATATATTTATTTTATATGTTACTTTAATAGTAACAAAGATAGAACCAATATCATCAATACCATTATATTAAATTTATCCGTTTTGAATCTAAAACTTTCATTTGGATTTTGAGCTTTAATTTTTAAACAATTAACACTTACCATAAATAATGATTTGAGGTTTGAGGGTTAATTAAGGTATAGAATTATATGAATATAGTTGAATTTGACTTTGTTATTGTTTTTATGCTTTTTAGTTTTTTTTTTTTTACATTAAAAATTTAAAAAGGAAAGAGTTTTATGAAAAAATAATTATCATGTGATCATATTTATTATGTAATTTATAATAACTAATATTAATAATATTAAAACATATAAAAATAAATATTATTTAAATAAACAATTAACGTTAAATTTGATTTAATTTAAATTATTGTTAAATATTAATTAAATAATTTGATTTAATTTGAGTCCTAAACTAATGTTTGTAGAAATATCTAGGTTGAAACATCAACCTAGAGTTAATTAATCCATTTCCTAAACTAATGATTCCTAAACTAATGTTAGGAATTTAAAAATGAAAATCTTCGACAAATGTTTGCCGAAATATGGAAAATATCATAAGGATTTGAAAATGTTTGATGTTTTTGACCTGAAATTCATCATATTTTAGAGAGAATGAAGAGAAAACAAGGAAGAGAGACTAAATGATAAATTTAAAAGTAAATGATAATTATTCAAATGATAAAATTCTTAAAATTACAAATGATTGATTTTTCTTAGAAAATTTTTATGTAAATTTTTTTTTTAATTTAACTCAAATGATAGAAAATTTTAAATAAAATTTCAATAATAATAATAATTGATATTTATTTTCAAGCCAATGCATTTGTATTATATAATTTATAAATAATTATTTTTTATATATTTAATTTTTAATTAATAACATATGATTATATTAATATCAATATCAATATAAATGAAATTCCTCGGTGAAGCAAGGGGCATCAACTAGTAATATATAAATAAAAGCTTAAATTCAAGTGAAGTATCTTTTGTGATATAAAATCGTAATACTTTCGGATTAAAACAGATAATATATCACAAATTATATATAAGTCTCCACACATAAAATGTTTAATAATTAGCCAATTAAAGGTAAACCTCTTTTTGTCTTTTAAATTATAATTGAGATTTGAATTCGATATTTTCAATTTTAAAATCAACTCTAATATCTTTAAAAATTGATAAATTTTAATTTGATTGCCGGTAAATTTGCTAAAGCTCTCAAAAAAAAAAAAATCTAAACATTGATAGATTTGTTGAGCAAAATCTATGTATATATATTCAAGTAATTTCATAAACTTTTTGATAGTTTATTTTTAAAAGGGCATTTTAGCTAAAATGATAACTATTTATTTAACTATTCAACATCAAATGACTAAATTCTGTGTTTACATACCATCATTATATTGTTGATCTATTCAATAAAATATATTAGATTACAGACTTCCATTTTTAAGTTTCGTTTTCATTAAGAATGTACTGACTCCATCTTAAATCTTCTATGTTTCATACTTCACCATCTCAAGGTTTCAGACCATGTTACACTTGGCACAAAAATAAGGAACTTTAACTATTTTAGAGTACTTTATATAAATTATTTTAATAATATTCAAAATATTATTAAAATATTTCGTTCAATAATTTTTAATATCAAAAAAAAAAGTATTGAATTTTCAAAATTAAAATATTTTTAATAATTTGAGACATTCAGGGAAAAAAAAAGGCAAAAACTTTTGCTATAGGCGGAGACTGAAGTAACATGCGGGTCGTGGGGCTTTAAATTTTTGCGGTGGATAAACATCTAAAACCATTTGAAATTCCTTCAATAATTTGGTCGATTTTAAGATATAGAATGTTCTCACACTTTTTGCACTAGAATTTTGAAAGACATAAAAGGCAATGACGAAATTTCTATAAAGAAATCAATATTCCACAATCTCTCACACTTAATGGGTTGACATGACCATGATATGTAGGATGATTTGTAGTGTGGGATATTGTTTTTTAATTTTGTAAAGACCCCAAAAGTAAGCAATAATTTTGAATAATAATTCAAATAAATCCCTACTTGCAAAAAAAAGTACCAACTAGTGTAATTACAAGAAACATTCTGAAAGTAAAATCTTGAATATATTATGTTAATGTGAGAGATTGTACTTTTAAAATCGTCCTGAAAGGAATCAGGCGCAAACAAAATTTGAGAAATGCTCATCGTCATATTACCAAATAATAATAATAATAATAATAATAAGATTCAAATTGGTATTTGATTGATAATTAATCAAACCTGAAACCCAGTTTTAACGGGCCTCATACTTGGTACAGGAATGGGTCATCGTTTAAGACGTTTAATGTTGCTTTCTCTGAAAAACTCTTCAGATGGAGCACCAGGGTCCAGAAATGGTTCATTCTTCGTCAATCCCTTCCATCACTGTTCCATTGGAAATACTTGAAGGAAGTCTCAAATGACCCTTCACTGCTTCGATTATAGTAGTAGGTTTCTATTTTTGGAGAAGCTAGAAACAAGAGAAGGCCGCTGATTATGCTTGTTGAAAGCATGTTGTTAGGGTACAATATTGAAAATAGTGAAGTAAAATGCAAACTGCAACCGGTTTTTCCGTGTAATATATATTGATATATATATGAGAGAAGAATAATGTAGCATTTGGATGATTCAGGTTAGTAATGCCCCCATACAGACAGAACTTTAAGATTACACGATTACAACTGATCTCTTGCAGCACTAGCACCTTAAATACCCCTCATTTAACAGACAGCATTAAAGTTATGAAGCGCGACAGCATACCTTCTAACAAAAGAAACAGGGCAAGCATCCTGAATCAGTGCATCTGATGTAATGACACCGACGAAAATAGCCAATCTCAATGATCATCACAACAAAATTATAAGAATGTTATTCAAATATACTATATTATGTTATAGGGGGTTTGCTGATTTCTATCAAATGAAAATAAAAAATCATCGGAAGCCTAGTATATCTCATATACTATGACTGCAATGTATCTAAACAAACACTGAAAGATACAAATTCCTGCAGAGGCAGGTGATCTATAATATGCTGTATTGCACATCATGGCCCCAAACGGAAAGGACCATCACCCATGTAGTGACCATCCATATAAAGAGCAGCATTCTGTGGATGCAGACCATCCATCACCATAAATTGCATGTCTTCAGAAGGTTTCCAGTGACGCTTCCTTTGATTTATAAACCAATTATTAATTTGTTTCTGGTCCAAACCAGTTGATTCAGCCAACGCCAACTTCTCTGTCTCCTGTGGGATTAATTAGCACTCTTGATTTTTAGCATGCCAAAATATAAAAACTAAAAAATCAAGTGGAAATTACCAATTTACAGCAGGTAGTAGAAAGTCAAGAATTTAACTTAAAAAGAGGATATACAGATACATACTGAAGGGTATGGCCATTTGTAGTGTAACTCCCACCAACTAAGCAATTTCTGTCTAGCTTCTTTGGGTAGTTTCCCTTTCTTCTTTTTCTTGGAGAGTTCTTGCTTGAGACTACTTAAGTACCCACTATATTTCCTCAAAAGGTGGTTCTTCAATTCTCGATCTTCAGCACGTGGATCAATTTCGGGTAGTCCAGTTTCTCCACCACTATTGTCTTGATCCTCCTCAGATGAACCAACACCTTCACACTTCTCATCTGTTCAATTTTTAATAAGAAAAGTACATTGACCTAAAAATGAGCACTTGTCTAGGGAATTTTCATAACAAAAATATTCTCTGTCCAAGTATAACTATCTTCAAAAACATCATCATCCTTTTGAATTTGGGCAAAGATGTCTAAATCTATTTCTCATAAATAAACTCCATCGGTTAAAATTCATGGCTTATGTTACTTCATTTTGCCATTTCTTTTGGACAAGGATAGTGACCAGTTCAAACAGAAGTCCTGCAAAAGATAGCTACTAGAGAGATGGCACATGTAAATCCACAGTCGCTCAATTTGCACAAATGTCAGGAACCACAAATAGAGAAGTCAGACTTACTGTAGGATAGTGGAAAGAAGGTAAAGGAGAACGAATGCATTGCCTATTCAATTTAGTGAAAGTTTAACAAATAAGATTATAGGTCACCAAACTTATAGTGAAGTGAAACTTAGACCAAGATATCTACAACAGTAAACTTAATAAAAGAACCGTCTGACATTGCAAAAGTGAAGAAGGAGAGGAAGGTTTATGAATGGTGTTAGAGAAAGAGCTAGATAATATCTGAATTAACCAACTCAAGTTGCTTCCAAGTCCATCCCATTCTTAAGATGACAAGGTACTCTCACCAATCTAAGCATGCACAGATGTTTCCATTAGCAGAAGCGAAGTAGACCAACTCAAATTTCTATTCAAGTGCAGACATAAAGATCAGATTTCACATCAAATTTCTGAATTCTAAAGCATGAAGAAAAAAAAATAAGGAAAATCATAGAATAGTTGGGATGATGATGATTAAAAAAGTTTAGTGCGTTGATGCTCGCAAATTGAATGAACATGAAGTATTTATGCTATCAAATTTGAGAGACTTGCAAAGATGCACAAACATCTTTGCCCTTCTCATGAATCACTTCATATCTTGTTCAAAATCTTATAAGCTTTAACACCATCACCAACATTCAAACTCAAATTTCAATAGTCATCAAAGGCTCAAAGCTATCATGCAAATATTAGGAAATGTTAGCAGTTCTTTTGAACCCATAGTGCATTCAAGGTTTTAATCTTCTCAGGTTTCTCAAATTGGGAAAAATAGAGTCAAAAACTTTTACCAGGCAAAATCTGGCACTAACAAACATAATCCAAAACATCATCTACACTACTAACTCGCCAAAAGATTTGAAAAGTTTCATAATAAAGATTAACCAAGAAACAATGAATTTAGAATGTATGACAGGCAAATGTTTAAAGACCATAAATTAATACTAACAATCCAGAGAGAAAACATCGCTATCCATCTAAATTCAACAGAAATTCATACATATCTTTAATGATCAACAATTGCAAAATAATTCATAGGCAATTAACAAATGCTGTCACTCACATAGACCATAATCATAGTTCATTAACAAATGTTGACACAAGTTTTACCATAAATGGAGATCCCTTGTGCACCATTCTGAGACTTATTTTCTCTCACCAAAACCTGTACTTGCTTTGAAGCATCTTACTGATTCATCATCTATAAGGTTAAATTCGAGTAAAACATACTACAATGGCTCAGGCTTCGCCAGAAATCAGAATCCTCCCACACTTCCCCCAAAGAAAAACAAATGCTAAACGCAAAATCCCACCTAAGCTTCATACTAGTAGCAATGAAGCTGATTTAATTAATATTCCTTCAAAGGTTGAGGCAGCTTTAAAAAATTAGAAAAAAAAAAGAAAAGAAAAAAGACAACTGTGAGTGACAAAACCCAAAACAAATAAAGAAATATATTTTTCTGCCAAAGTCGTACAGGCTACATAGGGTAGCACTGATTTGAATAGCATCCTATGTTCTCCAATTTTTCCTAATTTTTTTCTCGGAAAAAAAGATACAACTAATGGTTTAAACGAAGAGCAACTCGAGAAAAGACGACAATAATGACACATTCATCTCTCGAGGTATGTATTTATGTACAAAAACCCACAGAAACAGAATCAGATTTAGCAGAAGAACTAAATAGAATAGAGAATCCAGATTTCGGGAAGAAAAAAAACCAATAGCTTTGTCAGAGATCGTTCAGGATATAAGAGAAAAGGTAACCCACATTAAAGAAAAGCCAAGGTGTGAAGTTTATTGTTTTCATCATTATTGTTTACAGCCAGCAATAGCTTTAGACCCAAGTGCGTTTTGTCTTTGTTCTTTCAAATATGGACAGACTCGTGATTAGCTAGGGTTTTGCCGAGCTAAATAAATAAATGATGTAGCTGTTTTCTTCACTGTTGGGTCTTCTTCTCCGTTTTTATGGATCTATTTTTTGTGGGTTTTTTTTTTCCTCTTCATTATTGGAAGGCGTGATTTGGGTCAAAGTACCTTTCTTTATCTCCACAGGAAAAGAGAAGCAATGGCAAATAAATGAATGAGAAAGATATAGACTCAGCTCGACAATTTCCTAAGGAGCAAATTAGACTATCAGTTTTTACAGTGACAGTACAAAACGGCACAGTTAATCCTATCTCTGCAAAGGTCGACATAATTCTTGTTCCATTCTTCTGTTTCCCTTCTCTTGCTAAGCACTAGGCAAAGGTAAGCAAACCGCCAAAGCATCATCATCTTCATGAAGTGTGTGAATATGTACAAAAGCGTGCGGGAAATGGAAACAAAAAAGAGAAAAAGGTACCAGAATTGAAGATCCGCACGGGGCCATTGCTGAGCATGTTAAGTTGAGTTTCGATCTTCCGCATGAAATCCAATGCTTCTTGTATTGGCCTTGTTAGCTCCTCTCGATATTTCACCAACATGTCATAGTAAGCTTCCTGGGTTGTGGATCCACAATTTTTGAGTCAGAAAAAAGGACTTGAGCGGAACAAGGAGTTGTCATTAAACCCCAAAAGTGATCAGAAGCCAAAGAGAAGAGATTCAATAGAAACAAAGGAGTCCAAAATTGAAGTAGGGCAAAGAGACACAAAATCACCATAAACTGATCGAGTTCCGGGTCTTTTGCCGTGTCTTTCGATGTCACTGAAGATCGCTGCCTTGCCTCAAACTCTTGTCGAGCAGCTGCTAGCCGAGCTACTACCTCAGGCGGGGCTCCTACCTATATGACAACATGAAAAAAAAAAAAAAATTGTGCGAGAGAGGGAGTCAATGAGCTAATCGAATTCCCTTGAGCTTGAAGTAAGTTTTGTCTTCATCGAATATACTTTTGTGGGTAATTTACCTTTTGGCAATCCATGTAAGCTTCCAAGAGGTCAGAGTACTGAGGATGAGCAATGATCTTGGCTTTGATAGCTTCCACTTCACTGGAGCTTTCATTGCCTTCTTGTTGGTGATGAATTGCTTGATGCCCTCTGAATAAAGGGTAGTGAAATTTTTTGCCTTGTTGTGAGGTGCTGGCTTCAGTTTTCACAATTGGGTGTGCCTCGGATTGATACCACTCGCTTGATTGAAGATGAAAGGAAGATAAAGGCATCTGGGTCTGCTGATTACTCACGTTAGAACCACTACTTGCTCTCCCATATGGAGAAGAATTTGTTGCAAGAACATGAGATGCGTACAAGAAATTTCCCCTCGGAGGACTGTTCTCGTTTAGCTGATTATATTCTTCCATTTTTTTTTTCTCTTTTTCAACAAAACCCAAGTGAGAAAACCAGCTAAAAAATAATTCTCTAGCTAGAAACTAAGCCAAGACAAAGAAAACGTAAAACCCTAAAGAAAGTAGTTAAAGGAATAGAAACCCTAAAGCTAAAGACCTACTTATTTACTGCAAAAAAATTCATTTTCACATCAAATCGAGTAGACTCGAACTTTGGATTAAGGGGAAAATAGAAATTCTTTGCAGTTTTATGTCAAGGTGGCATTGAAGTGAAATTGCACCCAGCCTTGCACATGGTCAAAGATGTTCAAAAAAGATAGCCAAAAAAAAATCCGAAAAAAGCAAGACATAAACTGAGAATTTTGAGGTGATCTGACAAGAGGTTGAACGAGGAAGGAAACGAGACTATGAGAGCAAGGGTGAGCTCATGCCGGAACCGGCAAGTAACTGCGTGACTTTGGGTCGTTGACAAGACGTTCTTTGGTGAAAGATAAAGAAATATATATTTGACAATTAAATAAAGGCAAAGGATGGCCAAGAGATAATGCAATTGAATTCGTAGATTTTTCCTTTCCTTTCTCTCTCTTTCTATTATTGTGAGAAGGAAGTACCAATTCTTTCGCTCTATATATTTTTAGTTGCTTTTTGGGTTTCTTCTTTCACATCCTTTCATCTGTTTGCTTTTTTTTATACTGAAAAGGAAAACTATTCACTCAATTTAGTATTCATCAATGTCTAAAAAGTTTTAGTATTGAATTTTTTTTACTTAAAAGAAACATGTTCCATCAATCAGATTGGAGGTCTTTTTTTATAATAAAAATTTATATATTTAATTCAAGTAGTAATTATTTAATTTGGATGTCATCATTGCAGATATAGAATTTTTTAAAGAAAGTTGGTCAAAATAAGCCTAAATATAGGCTTTGCATACATAATTATAAGAATTTCTAAATGCTTCTCTCAGCAGATTTGAATCATGAATTGTTGTCATTTTTTTCGTCTAATTTTATAATTTCATGTTTAATTTTTTAATAAATAATTTTAATTTTAATAATTTTTTTAGAGTATTATATTAAATTAGAATTTATAAATATATTCTGAAATTTATAAAATTCAAACTTTATCAATTTTGCTTTTAAAAGTTTTTTAATTTATGATTTTATTAAAAAAATAATCAAATTTAAATACACTTTATTTAAAAAACTAATAAAAAACTATAATAGAAATAATGATAGTAAAACATTTATAAGCATTGTCTGTGACACTTATAATTATTAAAAATTTTGAATTCTTCACCCTATCTATATAAATATCGTAATCATTAATTACATCAATTAATTATTTTATTAACTTAATTATAATTTCATATTTTTTAGAATAATTTACTTATATCAGTATAAGTATTATATTTTTTATTGTTAAATCAAAATGATTAAATGTAAGTATTATAAATTTTAATTTTAATTAAAATATTAAAAATATATATGTAACATTAAATTTTATATTAATATAAATAAAATTTTATGTTTTTATTAAATAAATTAAAATTTATTAAAATTAATATTAATTAATTTAACTTATATTAATATAATAATATTTACATCACAACAAAGTAGACAAACTAATTCACTCTACCGTCTTTTATTTCATCTAAAAGTGTAAATGATATATTAGTACTCGTAAATTATTCAGGTTCGATTCGAATAAAATTTGAATTCGATTCGATTATTATTAAGTCGAGCTCAAGTTCGAGTAGCTCGACTCTTCGATCAAACCGAGTTCGAGTTGTTCGCGAACTTAATCGAACTTTTATATTTAAATTTTTTTATTATTTTAATTAATAAAATATCTCGAATTCAAGTTCGAGTTTGAGCATAAATAACAAGCTCTTATCGAGTATAAGAATCGAGTTTATTTTACATATTAATCGAGCAAGCTCGAGTAGCTCGATTTCGATCATAAATCGAGCTCGAGCTAAAAAAATAAAACTCGATCGAATTCGAGCCGAGCATCAAGCCACGAGTTGAGAGTTGAGCTTGAGCTTATCATTGTATCGACTTAACTCAGCTCGACTCGATTACACCTCTAATTTCATCTTTGTTAGTTCTCTTTTAAAGGTGTACGGTTCGCGAAATATTGAATTTTGAAAAAAATATATTCTTTAAAAAAAATATGATATTTAGGATTTTTTTTATTTTTAAGATATTTTGTATTTAAATTTATTTATTTGGTTAAAAAAATTCACATATATTAATTTTTAAATAATTATTATAATCTATTTAACATATATAATTATAACTTTTTATTATTTTTATAATAATAAATATATAAATTACAAATGATGCCTTTAACAACAAAAAAATACAAATATTTTATTTAATTGCTATTTTTATTTATAAAATATCATCAATAAAAAATATTAGGGATTATTAAATAATCTTTTTATTTTTTAAATATATTATTTAAGGTATTTTTTGTTCAAAAATACCTTAAATAAATATTATTTAAAAAATATAAAGAAATTATTTAAGGTTTTTTGTCCACAAAATATCATAAATAATCTCTAATTTTTTTAGAAGATATTATTTAAGACGTTTTTTATAAAAAAAAATACGTTAAATAATCTCTAATATTTTTAAATGGGATTATTTAAGACCTTTAAAAAAATACATTAAATAATACCCTTTTTTTTTTTGAACCGTATTATTTATGACTTTTTTACTAAAAATATATTAAATAATCAATTTCATTACTTATAAGATTTAAGAGATAAAATATAAAAAAATTGGAATAGCTCTCAATTGATTAAAATATAGAGTTATTAATCATAAGGTTGTAGGTTTAATCTTTCCTTTTAGCGTATATTTTTTTTAGATTACTTTTTTATTATTATTTAAAGCGTTTTTTACCAAAAAACATATTAAATAAAAAATTTTGATCAGCATTATTTAAGGTGTTTTATAGCCAAAAAGCACCATAAAAATAATGCTAATCAATTTTTTAAAATATTACTTACGGTATTTTTAGTCAGAAAACGCTTTAAATAATTGCATTCAATTTTTTTATGAGATTAGTTAAGACATTTTTAGTCAAAAAAAAACCTTAAATAATACTAAAGAAAATTGAACAAGATTATTTAATGCGATTTTCATGCCAAACACTATTAATTGCAATATAAAAAAAAATTAGTAGTTGAAATCTATAATTGATTTGCAATCACTTTCGGACATATTTTTTTAAAATAATAACAACTATTTCATAATTTTTTATTCATATTAAATTTGAAAATAATGTAATTTTTCATTCCGAAATCTTAAAATATCACAGGAAGAGGTTTGTTTTTAATTCGGGACTTTGGATACCATCGAGAATTTGTCACTTTCCCTCAAAATCAAATTATCTTGAATTAAACGTTGGAATCAAATATCCAACAGTAAAATTTCAGAGAAAAATGTATATATTCTCTTGAACCATACATCCCCTTAAAGTTTTTTTCAAATTTTAATTAATTATTTTATACCTTTAAAAATATAAAAAAATGGTATTTGTTAAATAGATAGATTATCTCTAAACCAATTTGATGAAATTTAGCAACATTGATCACTTATATATTAGTCATTTCGGCATGGAATTATTCTTTTGTCAATAAATCTTATTTTCTTTTCTTTTTCTCTTTGGGAAGAACATGAGACTGATAACCTATTTAATCTCATTTTAGAAAAAAAAAAAAAAAAAACAAACCCTAAGGCATGGATCTATTTTGTAATTATTTCAACAAGATTTTGTTTTTATTTATCAAAAGATTATTAAGATCAATAAATTTATGTAAACAAATTTTTTCTAAAATCTAATTATTTTTTAAAATTTTATTTTTATATATTATCAATGAATTTGTAAATTTCCTAAGAAAATTAATATATTAACCCCTATTTTATTTTTTTAACATATATATATCATCCTATTAATTTCGTTTATAAAGTATAAAAATTTTGATTCAAAGTAAATAAAATAACTTCTTTTAATTCATTAGTTATTAGAACAACTAACATTAGTTGTTGTATTAATAAATTTAATGCTGTTTACAGGTATACTTATTTGGGATGTTGAGATATAAACCGCAATGCCAGCAGGAAACACCTACTGAACCCATTTTCAACTTTTATTTACAGAGTTTATAACCAAAATTCTTTGTTGATTAAAAAAAAAAAAACTGTTAATTTTTCCATCATATTCCCCCAAAAAAGTGTTTATTTGTTTAATTATTTAAGTTATATTATAAAGTTATAGCAAAAAAGGTATTCACAATAAAAGCATATTATATATATAGAGTTGGTAGTCCAACTCGAATCCAACAGGTTTCAATCTGACTCGATCTCGTAGAGTCAATTTTTTTTTTTTAAATCAAATTTTGGATTGGGTATTATTAACAAAAAAATCTAGGTCGGGTAGAGTTCAAATTTTAGGCAAACTCGACCCGATCCGTTATTTTGTATTTAAAATTATTTTTAATTATTTTTAAATTTTTATTTATATATAATTATAGATTTATATATTTATATTAAAAGTAATTATATTTTAAAATAATATTTTATTAATTTTGAGTTAAATCGGATACGATTTATACAAAATTATATTAGATCGAGTTTGAATATAAAAAATAATAAAATATTTCAAATCTGATCGAATTCGAAACGAACAAAAACTTATTTCGACCTGATCAATTGACAACCCTTTATATATATTGTAGATAATTTCTTCATAATTGCAGGTATTACTATTTGTTTTCTTTAATTACTGATAAGCTGTTTTTTTAAATAGGGATATAGAACAATATTCATTGCCAGAAAAATTTCTATCCAAAATGGGGAAAATTCAAAGCAATATAAAAGACATCTGATTACTTATTATTAGCAGCTCCAAAGATTAAACAGAAATTTTCAGGAGCTTTAATTTGTTTTTATTGGACTTGATGTATCACTCATCATATATTATGACATAAATAAATATATAATAAAATATATCATATAAACGTTTTCATGGATAATTTATTTGAATGGCATGTAGGATAATTTTTTTGAATAGTATTGCTTCTTTAAATTATAAATTGGATAATCTTAAATTTATTCAAATATCAAATTTATTTAAGTTATAATTACAAATCAAATTAATCTTGAAATATATGTTATAAAATTTAAATTTTGATATATGGATTTTATCTTAACAATTTTAATTTTTTACTATATAACTTTATTTTATAAATTATTTAATTATAAAAATATTTCATCATTTTTTAAAACTAGAAATATTAAGTTTTCCGAATCTTTCAAAACTCACTAAATTCTTTTATATTAATTTGTATCAAACAAAAATTATTTTTACAAAATTTACATAAAATATTAAAAATTCAAATAATATTTTCATATTAAATCTCTTAAATAATAGGACCTATATTCATCTCAACTCTAACTATCAATTTTATATTTAAAAAATAAGAAATTTGATTTAATTTTTATCACTTATTATATCTTTTTAATTTTTTTAAATATCAATTTGAAAATTATCTATTCAATCATAAATATCATACAAGAGTTATTCTACAAATTAAAGATTATAAATAATGTAATGTGTTATATCATTTTTTATACTAACTCTTTGAAATCCTATGGC